TGTATCGCCTGTCCACTACCTGCCTCCTGGGGGTCCCTGGAAAAGGCTTGGACCCCCATTACCAGATGCCCTGCTTTGGGCTCAGACCCCCAGGACCAGGACCCTCCCCAGCGTCCTCTTGGAAGTGCCCCTCTTGGAGTGGCTCTGTCTATGCGGCCTCCTTAGCAAGCGTCTAGCCCAAGAATTGGCCATAGAGCCGGGCAGGGTGAGCCCAGGCCAGGCGGAGAGCCGTGTGATGGGTGCGGGCTGACCATCTGTTCCTTCTGGAAGGTTGGCCGCCCACTGGGCTGGAGAAGCAGAAATCCTGAGGGGCACAGACTCCTGCCGTGAAGGCCTCAGGTGTGTCTGCTGTTCTGTTTCCATTTCTGTGGCCATTTTTCCAAGAGCAACTCAGCCATCACTGGGGAGAGGCTGCCTGCTGGAGCCCCGCTCACCCGGGGTCAGCACGTGGCTCCAGAGGGCAGCTCACCTGCAGCCCCTTTCCTGCCCGGACCGGCCTCAGCCCCTCCTCCTGGCTCTCTGTGGGCCCCTTGCGCCCCACCCACGGTCCAGACCCACCTGTCTTGCCTGACTCAGCCTGTCCCTGTCCCTGTCCCGTGGTACCGAGTGTGACTGGGATGAGGTGAGGCCGCAGCCTTGGGTGTGACCTCAGGCAGTACAGCCCCGAGGCAGGAGGCAGCTTGAGGCAGGCCCTCCCTGGGCTTCCAGCAGCCCCCAGCCTGCCCAGAGCTCTCTCCTGCTTCTCACTGTCCTGGGGCCTGGGGCCCTGCCCTCTGGACCCCACCCAGGTCCCTTCTGCTGCCTCCAAGCCCGCAGGGTCACTGCTGGGGCACTGGCCGTGAGCCCTGCCCGCTGTGTGCGCCTCACTGCACTCCTGAGCGCCCTGCATGGTAATCACAGCTGATGAGGCCATGATCTGCGAGGCCTCCTCTCCTGGAGAGCCAGTCGGTCAGGGCCCGCCTCCCTGGGCCGGGGGCTGGTCAGGACCCAAGAAGAGGCCTTGCAGGGATTCTCCTGGTCCCTGCCCTCAGCCCCGCCACACTGCAGTGCTCAGGCACTGGCACCAGCCTGTGCTCAGCTGTCCCCTCCCCAGCTGGGAGGAAGGGCCCAGGCTGCTGTGCCTTTGGGGCACCCCTTTATCAGCAGTGCCCCCTCTGTGTCTCCTCCCGCCTGGTCCTCAGAGGCTCCGGAAGAGGTTTCCGAGCAGAGGTGGGGAGCCTAGTGGTGGGCAGTCCAGATGTCGCCTTGTGGCCTCCACAGCCCGTTGCTCCGTTGGCCTGTTTCTGGAGGCCCCAGTGTTCCCGTGTGTGGCCCGTTGCTGGGTAAGGCCCTGAGGCTGGTGGGCGGGAAGCTGTGTGACACGGCCAGAGCTTACCCTGGGTAGCAGGCCTTCTGTCTGTCCTTTCCCTTCTTGCCAGGCCTGTCCTGCTTCTGTCCACATGCGGGGAGTGGGACAGAGAGGTGCACAGCCACCCGGGACACAGAGGTGCACAGCCACCCGGGACACTCACTCGGCCCCGGGCTCGGCTGTGGGGCTGGTTTTGGGAGCAGCCTTCCCTCTCCTGGTCGGCGGCCTCAGGCGGTTCTTTGCACAGACGAGCAGTTCTGGGTTCATCTTCCCCATACTCATTAAACAATTGTGAAATTAGTAACTCATTTTCCTCCTAGTTATTTCCCTTTGAAGTTCCATAAAAATCTGAACTCCCTCTCAACTCTCGCTGCACAATAAACCGGAGCGAGAGCCGTGACCTCCGTTGGATGGGCTCTGCCATCTGTGGTGGCTCGTCAGAGGAGGGGGGCAGACAGGGCGAAGCCCCCTGCTTCTCTGCCCCTGCAAAATGTGCTGGGGACCCGGCCACCCCATGTCGCCCAGACCCCCCAGGGGCTGGCGAGCTCCCTGCTTCCACAGCTGGGGCACGGAGGGCCGTGTGTGCTCAGGCCTAGCCAGACCTCCCAGGCTCTGCCACCTGATGGTTGGTCCCCAAAAGCTACATCCGAGCTGGGGGCACAGCAGGGCTCCCCCACCCCACCCACAGCCCGCGGGAGCAAGCCTGGGACACAGAGGCCGCGGCCCGTGCTGTGTGCAGGAGCGAGGACCCTGCTGATGGATGGGCTCATATCCCATTCAAATATGATGCCAGCAGTTTTTTTGTAGTTTGTCTTCCATTGCGGTAGTAAAGTTTTTAATTAGGAAAGCTAATGAGATCGATTAGTCATTAGGAGTGACCTCTGCACAGTGGGGCGGAGAGGGCTGTGTGTGCGGTCCTGATAACGCGGCGCCTGGGCATCGCTGCAATAAAGGCGCGAAGGGTTTGATTTGAGTGAAATGTGCCACGGGGAATTCATCATGCGGAGAAAAAAATTACAACCCTGGGAGTCTGTAATGAAGGGAATTAAACCAACATCCTATCTAAATAACATGATTATCTACACAAACCCTCAGCCAGCCAGGAAGAATGGAAGAGAGCGCTGCCTGGCGGACTGCTGCTGGGGCAGCCCTCTCAGCGGGCAGGGTCTGGAGGGCGGAAGGGAGGGAAGAGGAAGGGGGAGGGGAGGGGGCCACAGGGGAGTGGGCGTCAGGCCTGGCTGCCCTGCCCACAGGGCTGCTCACACAGCCTGCAGAGCAGGCCCCGAGGGGAGGGACCTGCCTCCCTGCTCCCAGCTTTCTGGCCCCTGTGCACCACAGCACGGCCTTAGGAGCCCTCACTCCTGCAGGGCTTTTGGGGCCACACCACCATCTGCCCACCCTCCGCATGGGTGCCCTGGACGGTTCTCTCCAGGGTCACTGTCACAGTGCTTCTGCCCATGTCCGAGCTGCCCACCGGGGAAAGATGGGGACCGGGGGTGGTCTGCAAGGCCGGGCTGAGGGGATCACAGCCCCACTGTGACGGGGCAGGGCATGGGTTGGGGTGCCCTCTCTCTCAGCCTCCCAGGACCACCGGGATGGCCGGCGTATAACAGGCGACAATGTGGGAGAAGTGACAAGAGCCCAGCCTTATTACTTTGTGTTCTTTTAGAAGTGATAATTGGGTATTAATAAGTCAAATGCAGTAAGTGAATAAAACTTGGCTTCCCAGAAGGCCTGCGTTGCACAGGAATGCATGTAAATGCTAATGTCCAGTTACGAGGGCCAGGCCCAGAGGTGCTCGCCCAGCCTGGCACTGTGCGCCTGCAGGAGCTTTCTAGAATGCATGTCCAGTCCTGTGACCATTGAGGGCTGGGGGCTTCCTGGAGGAAGTCGCATCTGCTGGGCCCGGTTGGGGGCTTCCTGAGCTCAGGATGAAGGTGACGGACGAGGTTGGTGAGGAGGAGGTCGGCCCCAGCTCGGCTCAGCCTCCTTCCCAGGCTGCACAGTGGTGGCCCCGAGTGGGACCTGTCCCAGAGCAGCAGGCGACGGCCACTGTGAGAGCCCTGCGAGCAGGCACATCCAGGTTGAAGTGGGGCAGCGAGGGCCCAGACGGGGAGACTGGCCCCATGCAGGGCCTGTGGGAGCTGGGGGCCTGGCAGCAGCTTGAAGGAGACCTCACGTTCTTGAGCTCCTATTGGAACAAGCTGTGATTGATTTTTGTTGGTGTCTCCTTGCTTGTAAGACCTTGAAAACTCAATTGAACAAACAATTATTAATTGGCTCCCACTGTGCTAGGCTCCCCCTTATATTCCAAGTGTGTGTGGGGGGTGTCCAGAGCTAAAGATTCACTCACTTTGGTCACTCACACAAGAGTGGGCACCCAGGCGATGCCATGTGCTTTTCTGTTTTGCTGAGCTGTCATCTTTGGGGGGGAGAGGGAGGGAGAGAGGCAGGGCAGGAAGCAGAGGGTCTCTGCATTCAGTCCCTAGACCACGGGTGTCCCCACTCCCAGCGCCCCCTGGGCCATGGGGCTTGTGAGCGCACAGTGTGTCCTGCGGGGCCCGCTTTTCCTGCCTGCGCCCAGGCGGGCAGGTATACCCCAGGGCCCTGTGGGGCACCGGCTGTGGGCTTCATGTTCTGAAAGCTGATCTGTAGTAATAATTGTTGTCCGTGGACCAGGAGCAGCTCCTTGGGGGCTGGTAACAGGGAGGCTCCTGGTGTGGGTCAGGCATCCGTGGGTGCTGGGAGGATGTCTCCTTGGGGCCTAGGGGAGCAGGCGCAGGTCACCAAGCGCTGGTCTGTACCTCAGGGGAGTGGGGTGGCTGGCCCCATCCAGGGCTGGCACCAGGCAGCAGGAGCGTGAGGACCCGTGGGTCTGGTGTCACCATGTACCTCCCCTGCTTCCTCGCCTGGGCTTTCTGGACCTCAGGTGGCCTTCAGCTGCTGGTCAGCCAGCTCTGGCCCAGGGGTCCCGGCCTGCCCTCTGGCTGGCAGTGAGATGATGTGTGTGCTTTCCGGGAGTTCTCACCTGGCACACACGCCCTCGGTTTCTGCCATCCTGTCCCCACTGACTGCACCACCCTGCGTGGGTGGGTCTGGGTGGAAATCCTGAGCAGCTGCCAGATGCTGGGGTCCCGCCGGCAGCCCCTTTCCCAGTAAAGCCCGGGGTGCTGTGCAGGCAGGCCTGAGGGCCACAAGGAGGAGCCCGAGACAGCCTGGCTTGAGGGGGCAGCTGGGTCCTCCACAGAGCTGAGCGCCTGCGTCCTGCTGCATTAGCTTTAATTATCTGGGCGGTTAGAGCTGGAGATTATGAAAGTCGGGCAATTAGACGCGTTCCTCGAAGCTATGGAGAGATTGCCAGCTATCAAGTGGATGGGAGGGAGCTCGGGCATGACACATCCAGGAAGAAGGAAAGCTGTACATGGCAGTACATCACCCTACATCAGAAGGGACTGAGTCCACACATCCGCGAGGGCACCTGGTGAGGGTGCCCAGAGAGGGGGTGAGCACGCGCGTCCCATGGGAGCTCCCCTGTAGCTGGGGGCTGCCAGTCCCTCTGGCACATGCGTTTGGGGTGGGGCTGGGTGAGGAGTTACTGGGAGCCCCGGCCTCCTTCCCTGCCTGAGTGCCTGTGCCTGGGTCTTCTCTGCAGTGTCCAGCATGCACAGCCCGCGGACCCCACCCGCCAGCAGAGTGATCAAGACCCGCTACCGCATCGTCAAGAAGACCGCCGCGTCACCGCTCAACAACCCCCCGTTCCCCGTGCCCCTCCCCTCCTGGCGGATGCGACGCCTCTCCCTGTGCAGGTAGGTCTGGGCTCCCACGGGCCTGGGGGCCTGGGGGCCAGGCTGGCAGGCGTGGAGGCCAGAGGGTGGGGCTGAGGGTCGCGGGGACCGAGCCCCCCACTCCCAAGTGCTGGTCTCGTCTCCTGGCTGGGGAGTGGGCTCCTTTTCCTGTTCAGTTTCTGCCCCAGATGCCTGGCCAGCCTGTGTGCTGCATGCACACGTGGGCACACGCACAGCCCTGTGGTTAGCTGGTGGCAGGCGGCTGTGGGAGCAGACACACCATGGGCTCAGGGAGAAACTTGTGGTCAGGGAGGCCGGGCCCTCAGCAGCCCCTTTTGGAAAGCTGTGGACACATCTTGCCGCCTGTCTGACTGCTGAGGGCGAGAGGCAAGCCTGTAGCCCACCCCACGCCGACTCCACGTGGCAGTGCCGCAGCCTCCAGGCTGCTCTGGCTGAGCACGTGCAGAGTGGGGTGGCTCCCTCTTCTTCTCTGGATGCCCAGAAGCCAGGGAGGCAGTATCAGGGGGTGGGTGTTGGGGGCCCATCTCAGGACGCTGCTTAGCCTCAGAGCTTCGGGATGCCCTGTGTGGGTGCGCGAGGCTGGTGGGCGGGTGGGAATCGGGCAGCGGCAGACCCCTCCCTCTGTCCTCCAGCTACCCTTGGAGCCTGCCTCCCAGGGGAAGAACGTGGGAGCCCCTTGGTGCAGTGTGGGCTTCCATGCCAGGGCACATGGCCTCGGGCCAGAGGCTGGGGGGCAGCGGCCGTGGTGCCTGAGGGGCTGGACCACAGAGCAGAGTAGCTACAGTCCCAACCAGGGGCCGTCCAGCCAGCCCCCTGCAGGCTCTGCCGCCCTCTGGACGGTGACTGCCCGGCCGTGGGGCTGTGAGTGGAGGTGCAGCCCGCTGGCCAATGGCAGACATGCTGGGTTGTCAGCCCTCCCTCCCAAGCAGTCAGCAGTGCCCACTGCCTGCCTTCCTTACCGCTAGGCCACAGTAAACGTGGCCCTGCCACCTGCTTTCTGGAGGTGGTAGCTGGAAGTATATTTTAAATTAATTTTACTGCACTTTTTGTAATATTTTTGTTTTAAATAGATTTATAAGCATCTTGGGGCTATTTCTACAAATTTATGAAGATAATTTTCACTCTCTTGATAAGGGTAAATTTACACCTGCTATTTCCATATTAATCCACGATGCTAAGTGGGCCTAATTCTCTTCCGTTCTCCTATCTGGTGAGTGTGGCCTTTCCTAATGCAATTTCCCCCTCACTAAATCACTGTGATCGGGAGTCAGGATTGAGCTAAATTAACTTAAATTAATTTACTTAATAAGAGCCCCGATCGTCATGAATGAGGCTGATTTATTGATTCCTGCCTCCCCTCCTGCAGTCGGCTTCCTGGCCCCACGTCCACGTCCCAGCCCTGGCTAGTCCCCGCCTGTCCTGGGAGCGCGGCTGGGCTGGCAGGCCTCTCCTCCCGGCCTCTGAGCACCAGGGAGGCCCTGGGTTTGGGTCCAGCTGAGCCAGCGCTGTGCCAGCTGAGTGCGCCGGTCCCTGATGGGGGGAGTGGAAGGGGTGCCAGGCCCGGCGGGGACGAGGCTCCTGTAGGAGGGAGGTGGCCAGGTGTGCCCCGAGGCGGCTGCTGAGCGTGAGTCGCGCTTGTTAGGCAGAGCGAGCTTGGTCGCTAGGAGCAGGTGGGGGCTGAGAGGGCGCCTATGGGCAGCGTGGGCAGGCATGCGCGGTCCTGCCTCGGGTCAAGTGGATGGGGCAGGCCGTCGGGGGAGGCCCTGCTGCCAGCCCGGCATGGCTCCTGCTGCCCCCAGGCTCCCTGTCCCAGCGATGGTGGTGCCCGGACAGCCGCCTTGCAGGGGGTCTGTGGCTGTCTAGACGCCCTGGGCGTGCACCGGCTCGTGCACTCAGGCGTCCCTGTGTGAGGAAGCATGCCAAGCCCACCCGAGGATGGCCATGCAGTCACTAGGGGCACGTGCAGGGGCCGTGCTTAGTGGGGCCTCCCTCCCTGACCGCCCCCCAGGCCTGTCTGACCTGTCGCCAGGCACCCAGGACGCACCCTGAGCACACAGCCCTGGACCCTTGGGGGCCTGACCTCTGGGCTTGGGCCTGCAGGGTGGGGTGGGTGCGGGGTGCTGAGGCCTGAATGGCTCAGGAGGCCCTGGGAAACGTGGCTGCCAGAGGGCTGGACTTCCTTTGCCCAAGGTCACCTGTGCCTTGGCAGGGGCGGCCTCCTCGGCAGAGGGGCTGCCTGCCAGCTGCCTGGCCCTGCTGTCAGGAGCACACGCCTGGCTCCGTTTGTCGATGCAGCAGAAAGGGCCCGTCTCCGGGCTGGCGGCCAGTCTGGAGCCCGCCCACCTGCCTCCTTCAGCTCATCAGAGCTGGGGCTGCCTACGTGTGGTCAGCAGGCCCCAGGGAGGCTCTGGGGCCGTTGGCTTTGGCCATGGCCTTGACCTCTGCTTGCGTAGCTGCAGGATTCTTAGCTCTTCCCCGGCAAAAGGAGGTGCTGGTCTGGTGGCAGGACCCAGGCCAGTGTGGGCCGAGTGGCTGCCGCTGTGAGGACGCGGGCTGTCCCACCTGGCAGCTGGCCTGAGCCTGAGCATGGAGGGCGCTCCTTGTGCCTCCCGATCTGTACCTGCCGTGGAAGGACGAAGCCTCTGGAGGGGCCGGTGGTCAGGCCCCAGCAGCCTCGGTCATCTCAGTGGGCAGTTGGGGGCTGGCAGACACAGGAGGGAGGCAGGGGCCAGCGGCTGAGAGCGCCAGCCCTGGACCCCATCTCCTGCAGACGCTCACTGTGAGTGAGTGTGGTCACTGCAGAGGGGAAACGCCATCTTGGGGTGCTCAGGCAGCCCCAGAGGGTGGTATGTGCACATGACCCTGGGCACTTGGGGCTAGGAGCGGGGCTCTTGGGCCCACGGCCTGCTGCCTGGAGAACAGCCAGGAGCAGCCAGGCGTCCTGGGCTCAGCACAGCTCCACACCTGACAGCTGGGGGCTTTGGCTAGCCACCGCCCTGCTGCCTAGGGATGACCCACCCCCTCAGCGGCGAGGCATCACCACACTTGATTCTGCACCACCAGGGGCCTGGTATTAGAAAGGCTGGAGAGGTGGCAGAGTTGCCACCCCTGTCCTGAGAGGGTAGAGACAGGGATCCCACTCCCACTCTGACCACAGCCCTCACCCCATGTCAGGGGCCCTCCCTCATCTTCCCCACCGTCACCTCTAAATGCCCTAACCTGCCTCTTTGCTCTCCCCACTGCTGGTCCCCACCTGGCTCGGCGCTGGGCTGGGGGTCTCCTCTGTCCCTTCCCTGTCTTCAGGCCTGGTGTCTGGGAAGAAGGCAGAGGGTGCAGGGTCCTTGGTCTGTTGCTGTCTGGAACCCCGTGTGCAGCGCCATGGCCTGAGACGTGGGCCATGTGGCCCACTGTCCGCTGGCATCCCCAGGGTGCCAGGTGCACTCCTGCCTCGTGAGGTGGCTTCGCTCTTTGTCTCCTGACTTAGAACCCTCCTCCTAGCCCTGGTCAGCTTGGGTTCAACATGTGGGAACGTGGGGACGTGACAGCCTACTTTCTAGGTGACCCGGGCGTCCCCTCCCCACATCAGCTTGTCTGGCCCTGACGTGGAGGGAGGGGCTGGTGCTCCTGTGGTGAGGCCCTGACTCCAGAAATATCCCGGAGGACAGTCAGCTGGAAGTAGGTCAGCCCGTCAGGTCTGCCAGCTGGTCAGGGCTTGCGGTGGGGCAGACAGAGGTGGGAGGCCGCCGGGCAGCAGCTCCTGGGCTCTGTGGGCCCTGCCAGGCGGGGTCTCTGAGGACGGGCCTGCTCTTCGAGAGCCACGGGCAGATGAGGTAGCTGCTGCCCTGGCCAGGTGAGTGCATCTGGACGCCTGGGCAGGAGGGACCCAGGGTGGGGAGACAGTGGGCCCCTCCCGGGAAGGACTCTGGCCTGTGTGGGGGCAGCGGCTGATGGTCCCGGAGGCTACGGGTGGGCCTGGGTCCAGAGCCTCAGGAGGCCCAGCTGGGCCCCAAGGACTCTAGGCCACTGCTACCCAGAACCGGCCCGAGCTCCCTGGGGCAGCAGAGGGCACCCCAGGGCTGAGGCTCATGGTGAGTAAGGATTTAATTTTTTTGTTACAAGATTTGTGGATTTGTCTGCGCCCTCGCTGGCTTCTAGCAAGTTCATTAATCTGAACTGAAGCTGAAGTGTGACTTATATCCCTAAACTGCCTGTCACTCTTTTCTCTTTCCGAATTCACTTGACATGAAAGTCGAAATAAACAGAAGCTGCTGTGCTTAAGCAGCTGCGTCTCGAGGCTGCTCGGTTTGACTACGAATGGAGCTGTCACGGGGCTGCCGCTCGCCTCACTGGGCCCCTCACTTGGTCTTTTTTCACTTGTGTCTGTGCGGCAGATCTTAAGTAATCTCTGGGAGGTTTGGCGACGTTTGGGCTGCACTGCTGAAGGCTCTGGAGCCCTTCTGCAAAGTGACATCTCATTAAAGAGGAATTCAGCCCGAGGATGGGTGGCCACGTCCCCGTGCTCCCCTCCCCGCCCCTCCACCCTGATCTCCCTAATGAGCAGGCACCGCACAGCCTCCTGGGCCAGTCCAGGCCCTGCTCTGCCTCCTGCCTGCCCCTGGTTCTCGAGTCCGGCCCCTTCAACAGCCCCTTTATTTCTCACAGGGCTGCAGGCTGGCAGCCTGACTTCAGGGTCCCCTTCTTATCAGGACCCCAATCCTTCATGGGACCCCACCTGTACAACCTCACCTAACCCTGATCACCTCCCAGTGGCCCCCCTCCAAATGCTATCACACCGAGTTAAGGCTGCAACACAGGAATTTGGGGGACACAACTCGGTCCATAGGACGGAGTGTCCTGCTCGTCCCCAGACCTGCCCTGGAGGCTGTGGCCGTTCGAGGAACTCAGGGAGTGATGCTCCCTTCCCGCCCTCTCCATTGAGGCCACACCTGGCCAGCCGTGTGCAGACACCCCTCCCAGCCCAGCCTCGGCCGGGACCCTGT